AGCGGAATAATGGAGGATAGTCAAAGGATGCATGGATAAAGTGGGGCCGATTCCACGTTACATCTTTGATGCGAATAAGTTTATTCCACACTCTGCTGCCATTCAGAGTGCCCTGGATGGGATCAAGTCCCGGGATGGTGAAAAGCACTTTACAGATGGGGGAGTGAGACTGTGGTATTCTGAGGATCCGTCTCAAAAGCTGGTGAGGGCTGCCCGAGCACGAGGAGAATTCGGTGCTGAGGGATTTCTGAACGCACCGATACCCCTTTGCCTCGTGCATCGAATACCGCACTATTTCTGGAAACGTGATGAGTGAGAAAGATGTTTTTTTTCTGTTGCTAGTATTGGGGAAGAGGAGTACTCTTTTGTCTGAATGTATGGGAAGGGTTTGACTTGCGCGCATTCATGTTTTGGGGAGTCTGTCAGTGCATTAGTAGAGGAACTCAAGGAGCTGGGGCCACCAGCACGCCGTGGAGGACGGTACGCAGTGCTGAGGGCGAACCCTGAAGGGCACCCCGCCGAGTTATATGTGTATTGGTTTCAATGGAATACCATACAAATAATGCTATAAAGCATTGGCTGCTGTGCATACCGGCGGTTGGATACTTTCCGCTGGTGGACGCCTTTTTTCCTTCGTGGAGCCAAATCCAATGACGCTGGTTGGGCTGCGGATGGCTACGGCGGGTGAGCATCACACCACCGCCAGCACTGTGAGGCAGTTCACTGAGTGCCTGGCGGCGTATTTTGATGGCTGGGAGGAATTATCCCGAGACATGTCGTGGGAGATGATTTGTGTGCAGCACGCAGACAGCACGCCGATGAATGGCTGGCAGAGATGTGATGTTGTCAATCCCAATAGTGTGAGCGACGTTGAAAGCCGTGAAATAGCGGCGTTTTGGAGGGAAAAGGTGCGCCAGTACCAAGTGTCAATATCATCCGGAGACTTTGGAATAGACGAGGCTCTCCGAAGTGTGGAGGAACCACGGAAATAGTAAAACAAATTGGGAGGGAAAGGGGCGGTTTTGATTTCTGGTAAAAAATATTGCGGGGGTTATATATTTTTGGATGCTTGTGTGTGTGCATACGGTGCGGGTGCACCAGCCCCATGCGGCAGCACCGAAGACGAATGCCCAAAAATGACCAACGCTATCGAACATAACAGTAGCAGAAGAAATTAGGGAGGGAGTGGGGTTGTTTGGTTTCTGACGAAAAACATCGGGTGATTTTCACATAGTATGTTAGTTGTGTGTGTGTATACGAGGCATGATTGGAGAATTGCCCCGATATGAGGGAATCATTGCGGCTGGCGGTGTTACGGCGTTACCGCATTGTCCATTTTCTTCTATTGTGTTCTAAGGCCCATCAATAACAGAGGCAGTTTTAAGGGATGGACGACGAATACGTTCTATTGAGGAATCAGTGCACTCCGTGTGACCGCATGGAGTGAGGCGCCGCGTCATGGGTGGATGAGGGCCCGCTTCCGCGTGTGGCACTTTGTGTGATAGCTTGCTTCGTGCGTGTTGTGTGTTGGCTGCGGGGCTGTGGCCGTATTCCGTTGGCCGTGGGACTGAACTGGAGGCGGTGGCGGTGTGTCTCTTCTCTTCCTTGTCATTGGTGGCTGATTGCTGGCGGTGTGTGCGTCTGTTGTGTGGAGGACCGAATCCTCTCACCCGCGGACTGACAGCACTGCGATTGCGTGTGTGTGTGTGTGAGGGCTGGTGTGGAGTCGCCGGCCAGGGTGAGGACCGTGGCGGTGCTTTTCCTGAGACTGGTGTTTGTTTCTTTTGTGTGTTTGTGCTGCTTCTTGCTTTTTTCTCCTGTCATCTTCTCCTCCTGTGTTCCTGCGTGGAGTGGCGGCATGCTCACGGGCCATGTGGATTGTGAGTGCCTCTTGACGGCATCCATTCATCTCTCTCCGCCTGTCTGTCTGTCATTCCCTGTTGGGTGTGGCGTGTTGCACCGCGTGAGGGCTGGCCCGCACACACCGACGGCCCGCCGTGACTTGCCGTGTTGCTGCTCTTTTCTGTGGGCGATGGTCCTCCGTGCTGTCCCTTCCGGATTGTCTTATGACTCGCTCTCTGCGTGGGTGCTCTGCTCTGCTCCCCACTGACGTGTCTGGTGTATTGCCGCTGTTGCTGCTGTACTCTCTTTTCTCTCTGACTCACGCATACACACGCTAGGAAAGAAGGAACACAAGCGCTAAACGCCACCGTGAAATTTGAAGGCCCTGAAAGGACCAACAGCACACACACACAAATATTTATATGCTCTCACGTGTTGCTGCAGTGAAGGCACCCCGCACACACAACCGTTGCCGCATGACCGGATCCGGCGGGAGGAGGAGGGAAGGAAGAGAGAGTGAGCCGCAGAGACCCAACATGTCTCGGCACGTGTTTAGTTTTGCGGTGCTGCACCTCTTCGTCGTGTTGGTGATGTGCTGCCGTGGAGCTGCATCCAGTGAGATGGAAACGGCAGTTGTTGAGCCAACTTCTCCCATGCCTTCACCGAAAGTTCTCATTGATGCTGGGGGGAGCGTTTCAGGGAAGGAGCAACCGCTGCAACGGGTCGATCTATTTGTGCCGAATCAGACGCTGGTTGTACCGAAAGGTGGAACTTCTCCAGAAACGACGAGGGATTCATTTGTTTCCCCATCTCTCGTCAGTGCTGGCGGAGTAATTGCTGCTTTTGCCGCAGGTTACATGGATTTTAAAAGGCCGACGGATGCATCAATTAAGCCCTCTTTTGGTGTTGTTGCGGGGTACATGAACTCTGCGTGGAATTGGTCCGCTCTTGTTGCTGAGGTCAATAACAGTACATGGAAAGCACACACCGTGCTTGGTACAGCGGATACAGAGGTTCGTGTGGGCGGTTTGTTCAACCCCACAACAACCACGAAGGGAAATAAGTTTTTTCTTCTTGCGGGAAGCTCTGATGCGCAAAAAGAAGGTCTGGAGTGGAAATGGGACAGCCTGGAGCTGAAACTGGTTGTGGGTGATGTCACGAAGCCTACGGTGAGCGAGCCGAGTCAACGGATCGAATGGACAGAATCTACATCGTTGTGGAGCCAGGTTTCTGTACGTACTCACGAACGTCAATTTAGGGGGGCTTTACCTTCTGGTGGCTCAGGTGTTCTGATGGAGGATGGCACGCTCGTGTTTTCTCTGATGGCGGGGGATAAATCAGGATTCATTTACTCCATGATTATTTATTCGACGAACAACGGCAGTACCTGGGCGCTCTCAAAGGGCGTTTCCCCTGCGGGCTGCCGTTACCCCCGCATCACC